CACCATCTGATCGCGCACGGGCGGGATCCTACGTTGTGTTTATGATCGTTGTGATAGGTACGGAGATGAAATTGATAAAACACACAGTTTGCTTGACCGTCCTGCCATGGCGGAGGTATTCGAGATACTGATATATTGTTTATTTGTATTCGTTTGTATAGAAGCTACAGTGGGTAGGGTAGTTGTACATGTAGATGACGTTGCACAAACACCATCATTTATGAAATGTATCTCCGATATAGCCATCACACATTCAATATTGTATTCTTATTCCTTATGATATTTTCTGATTGTATACTCATTCAAAGTTTCATATTTCAAGAACTAAATTGTTTGAGTTTCTCGCATTATTTTCTACATTCATCGAGCGTTATCAATAAAACCCCAAATCAAAATACTGACGTACGGTCACAAAACTAAAAAAATAGTACAAAGGCAATAATTTCCGTTAAACATATTCAGGACTGGTAGCGATCAATGCTGTCAAAAATAGTGATTTTAGTGATCATGTAGAAAGAAATAAGAAGACCAAATAGTGACTTATAGTTGTAAAAAAGTGACCAAAGGGAAGAAAATTAGTCGTTCTGATGGCATACCAAATAAATGTTTGATGTTTTAGGCTTATTCAATTAAATTCTCAAAGACACTTAAATAAAGGGTGATACGGTCAAAATTTGGTCAAGGGTCGTTTATTTAAAAAATCAAATTAAATTTCTTTTTCAAGTTCAATTAGTATAAAATTCAGGAAAAATATTCAGTTAGGCTTCCGCTTTTCCAAATCCGAATTGCCGGGCTTTACGCTTGACCCCTGCCATCAGATTTTGTACAGCCACCTTGTCCACCTTCTTCGCCGCAGAAAGCCAGTTTGCCTTGAACTGCTGCTCGCCCTTAGCAGTTTTTTTGGTCTTCTTTAGGTTCCGCTTGACAATAGCCCAGTATTTCTCAATTGGGCGGAGCTCTGGCGTGTTGGGAGGGTTCTTGTCCTTGGGAACCACCTGCACGTTGTTGGCGGCGTACCACTCCATGGCCTTTTTACAGTAATGGCAAGATGCCAAATCCGGCCAAAACAGTACGGAACAACCGTGTTTCTTCAGGAAAGGCAGCAGACGTTTATTCAAACACTCTTTCACGTAAATTTCTTGGTTGACAGTCCCGGAAGCTAAGAAAATGCTGCTTTTCAAGCCACAGGTACAGATGGCTTGCCAAACCAGATATTTCTTTGCGAACTTTGACAGTTTCATGTGCTTAAAAACATCTGCTACCTTTCCCCTTCCTTTTGCCGTATAAAACTCCTGTCCCGGAAGCTGCTTGTAGTCGGCTTTGACGTAGGTTTCGTCGTCCATTACCACGCAGTCAAACTTCGTCAGCATCGTCGTGTACAGCCTCCGGGATCGCGCTTTGGCCGTCGTATTTTGTTTATCATCGCGATTTGGAGTCACTACCTTCTTGTAAGTCGATAGTCCGGCTCGTTTTTTGGCTCGATGCACGGTTGTAGACGATACACCCAGCTTATTTGCGGCATCTCGGAGAGAGAGGTTAGGGTTTCGCTTGAAACTACCGGCAACTCTCTTTGTCGTCTCAGCGGCTTCCGGTTTTCGATTTCCCCCCGATCCAGACTTCCTGGCTGTCGACAAACGTTCCCCAAACACTTTAATTACATTTGTAACGGTTGATTTGGCAACTTTTAGCGATTTTGCCAACTTTGCGTGCGAGTAGCTCGGATTTTCGCGATGCGCGAGCAAAATTTTGATACGCTGCTCTTCTTGCTTAGACGGCCTTTTGACAACTGAAGAGTGAATTCCAAAATCAAAATAGGAGCAACATTCTACACACACACACCTTCAAAATGAGGGGTGTTCAGGTTTTTAAATGCAAAATTGAAAGAAATACGTCAAGTTGATATTGACCAAATTTTGACCGTATCACCCTTTATGTAATGTACCTTTAAAGCGAAAGATTCACTAGAAAGTTTATGACTAAACCTCCAAGCTTCTACTACCTTGAAACTTGAAAAACCTGGAATTCGCAGGGAATTTTATTTTTTCTTGAAAATAAATACCTGGAAGTATCAGGGAATTAAAACAAATAAAATTTAATATTCCTAGTTATTTGCATTTCTACATTGAACTTTATAGATCCAGAATGGATTAATCTTCAGTAACAAATACATTTTTAAAATTCAGAGGCTTCAAATGATTTTTTTGGTTCTAGAATATGCATATTTCCCACCAATTTGATATATTCTGAATCCGAACAGTTATAATACTTCAAGAAATTTTCAAGAATCTGGAGTCAATTTCCCTGAACAGTTTTAAGACTCATGTAATTTTATTATAATTTCTAAGGATCCCATTCTACGGGAGTTCTGGGAAAAAATCTATGAGAAAAACATCAACTGCAATCTGCTTTTATGGTACTTCTGAGAAATTCCAGACTTCATGTGAAAGCGAATTTTCAAGAGAAATCTCCGTTCAATATGTAGTGCACTATTCTGAGGTCTTCAGAACAGCTTGAAAATTCCCAAAATATTCCTGAATTTAATTCAACTGCCTTGAAGTTTTTTTTTGTAGTGATGCTCGCAATACTTCTCATCAATGTTTTCAACTTCTCTAAACGTTTTCGGACTTCCTAAAGTTTTTCACAATTTTCCTAATCTTCATAAATTTTTAACATTTCACTAAATTTCTCTAAACTTTTTAAAAAATTATGTAATTTCCCGCTCTGGATACCTGTTCTTTCTTGAAATTTGTTTTTAGCTTTATTAGCGATGTTCTCGAAACTTCTCTAAAGTGTTTGCAGTTTTCATGAAGCTTGTTGTACTACCATGAATTTAATTAAACTGTTCTAAAAATGTTTAAGCTTGCGTGAACTTCTGGACTTACGTGAAAACCTCAATAATTTTCTTAACATCTCTAAAGTTCTCTCAAAATCTGGGAACTTCTAGAAATTTCCCGATGATTTAGTGAAAGTAATGAAAGTGAACTCCCTTGAAATTCTCTTTGTTTTTGGAGCTTTACTAAACTTATTTGAGATGCCCCAATGTCCATAAAAGTTTCTGAAGTTCTCGGATCTTCCTTAATTTCCATAGACTTTTATGAAGTTCTCGAAATGTTTCTGAAGATCTCTGTATTTCTGTGAAGTTTTCCAAGTTAGGCGCTTTAGGCTTCCGCAGCGAAATAATTAATAAAGTTTTATGATTTTAACTGAGGTGTTCAAGATTTGTCTGAAGTAACTAAAACGTCGATCTGTGTGCTGAAAATAGGCGTGAGGATGCTAAGAGAAAGTCGACGAAGAGAATCTGTCAATTTTACGTAGGACCTGATGCATTGTTCAGCTTGAATTCTCTTGGCTCACTTGATATACATTCCCGATCAAAAGTTTGAAGTGCTCATATATCTGCAATGAACCATTAAGTCAACGCTATTTATCACACAGATGGCGCTGTTCCATTGGTAGTAAGCAATAAAAATACCCATATAGGAATTGGAAAAAGTAGGAATAATACGCTTTTGATGCTTTTGATATTTTTGGAATCGGGGTGATGTCTTGAGGCCGAAAATTTATATACGACGCCATTTTGAAATCCAAGATGGCGGCTTCCAGGTTTATAAAAAGTGGGAAACACTGTCAAATACCCATCAATATGAGTATTTTTGGAATCGGGGTGATATCTATAAGCCGGAAATTGATATCCGACGCCATTTTAAAATCTAAAATGGCGGCTTCCGGTTTCATAAAAAGTGGGGAATACTGTCAAATTCCCATCAATAAAGGTATTTTTTGGAATCGGGATGATGTCCAGAGACCGGAAATTGATTTCTTACGCCATTTTGAAATCCAAGATGGCGGCTTCCGGTTTCAGAAGAAGTGTCAAATACCCTATAATATGGGTATTTTCGGAACGGGGACGACGTGTAGATGCCAAAAATTGATGTCTGACGCCATTTCGGAATGGCGATCAGTGGTTCAGAATAAGTGCCAAATAATCTGCAATATGTGTATTTTCAGAACGGGGACGACGTGTAGAGGCTGAAAATCGATGTCCGACGCCTATTTGGAATCCAATAGTGGCCATTGGTTTCTAAAAACCTGTGAAATACCAAAAATATGGGTATTTTCAGAAAGAGGGGCAACGCATGAAGCCCGAAAGTCGATGTCCGATGCCATTTTGGAATGCGAGATGGTGGCCATCTGTTTTAGAAAAAAAAAATGTAAAGTATTATACGATATAGCCGCTATCCTGAATTCCAATATGACGTAGGAGCATCAATTTTCGGCATCTACACGTTATCCCCGTTCCGAAAATACCCATATTGTAGGGTATTTGACACTTTCTGAACACAATAAACACCATATTGGATTCCAAAATGGCGTCGGACATCAAGTTTCGTCATCTATACATTGTCCCCGTTCCGAAAATACCCATATTGTATGATATTTGACATTTCATATGAAACTGAAAGCCGCCATCTTGGACTTCAAAATGGCGCCAGATATCAATTTCCGGCCTCCAAAAATCACTCCGATTCAAAAAATTCGGAATTCGAAATTTACGCAGTTCGTATCCCCCGCGTAAAAGCGACTGTATTCTATTTTTTATGATTTACTTGCTGCTGAATTTCGAAATTGCCTGACAATTCTAGGTTCTTCCAGGAAAAATAAAATTCCATGAGAATATATCTCGATATAACGTAACTGTCATGTTTGGCTTCCTTCGTCATTGTCTCACAAATAAAAATTTAATTATTGAAATTGGCATGACTAATAGACGGAGGATTGTGTCACTCTCTCCGATGGTGTTATTACTTTGCTTGAGTTAATGATTGTTAGCTAGAGATCAGCGATGGAAGTCAAAAGTGACGTTATATCCAGGTATATCTGTAGTAGACACCCTGATCCTCTTCTTCCCTAAATCCTTGGCAGATGTCTATGGATTATGGATTGAGCATGTTAAGAAGTACCTGCATCTCTTATACACCTATCTGAGACGTTGAACTCACCTTCAATTTGCTTGCCAGCGGCCGCGGCCACTGCCTGCGCCATCGTAGGATTAGGTAAAGGCGTCGTGGTGAATGCTGCTGTGGCCGCCGAGCCAAACTGAGGCAGAGCGGCGTACGGCGTCAGGGTGGCATCCGATCCAGTGGTCCCTAGAGGATGATCAAGGAAAAAGACTCAAACCAATTGTAGTAATTAAAACCTGATATGGTATTGTTTGAATGTAGGTAATCTGAGAAAAAAAGCAAGTAGGAAGATATATGGGGATCAAGTTCATGCAGCGGAAAAAAACACACCGAACATCGACTCTACTAGAAATGCAGCGGAAAAACGGGCATGCAAAATTTGGATAAAACAAAGTAAAGCGAATCAGATTGTGTTAAAATTGGAATCATTTCACGTCAATACCTCAGGGTGGTCAGCGCGAACCACACCGTACACCAATATACATATTTAGCGCTGTAGAAAGTGTCCCCGAAAGCCCGAGGAGGGTGTGAAAAACGCCAAACCGAGTCCACGCACATTCGAACATTGGAACGTTGGTCTACATGACCAATTTGGGGACGCGGGATGAATTTAATCATGACGACCCATTGAACCTTGCCCCCCTGGCCAACATGGCAGAGACAGCTAACCGCAGGGACATGACCGTAGATCGGGGGGAATGCCATCGGATCCTCTCACTGCCAGATGTTGTCTGTCGTGGGCACTGCAAGGGCGTATTTGTGACCGGTTTTTTTTTTGGTTCAATTTTATGAAATATTTTCCAGCTGGTAAATCATATGCGGTGATGACGTTTTTTTTTTTATTCTGTAGCAGCTGCTACATGATACTACCCCTGAAGCAGCTTGTTCCCGGCAGTTCCCGTTCGGTGATGACCCTGATTGGCATTGGTTTTCGCGGGTTTTTGTGGTTCGTCCTTCAATGGATGCGAATTTTGCACTGTTGCTGCTGATGTTGTTTGTGGGATGAAACCGCGATAACGCTGACATCAACAACAACGACGACGTCGACGACGTGGATGATGATGACGATGATATGAGCGTGTTGTCGGGCGTGATGGAAATGAATTTAATTTGGTTTTATTTATTATATTATTACAATTATTTGATTATTTATTTACACCACGAAGGTGCCACACGGCCACGGATCCAATTATTCTGATATACCGTGGAAAATGATTCGACTGTAAAGGGTCGTATCAAGGGGGAACAGAGCTTAGCTGTTCAAAGTAATCAAGGATTTTTTAACGTTTACAACTATCCCCATTCCGTCACTGGCGGTGGCAGACTGAAAAAGCTCGAAACGTGTTGTTTTCACCAGAAGCCGATGATAAACAAGTTGACGGGTATATGTCGCTCTGGGTATCGGAATCGTTAATTGGGAAAGATTGATGTTTATGGTTGTCATGACACAGCCAAAAAAAGAAAGCCATCCTTAACCAGTTGTTGTTTTCTCTATTGGGAAACTCACGCAGTGCTTGGTAGTGACATATTCTCTAATTAGCTGACCGCTGCTGGGTGCTCTAATTTGTAGGCTTTTGCCGGCACTATCAATTATTTATATCACCACTGGCCATGCGGTGGTGCTTTTCCCAGAATTAGGCACTCGAAGGTAGCGGCAGGTAATTTTCTCCGAAATTTCGGCTATTAACTACCAAATGCGACCGGACACTGGCTAGACCCCCTTCCCCGTCTCCAACGAAAGTCGAGGTAGTTAGGCGCGCCAAGAGCAGAACCAGCTGCTCTGGATGCCATTATTACAGACCAGGCGCGTACCCGTAAATAAGGCCTGGAATCGTTGATATAAAAATTTAATTACTGTGCGGTTGCGACCTACTCATTTGGGTGGTTGGATTGACTGGGAGACGGGAACCATAACCACACGCTGTGTGGACCGACCTCGCAGCAGGAAAATGAGGTGGTACATATACACAACGGAAAAAAGGACATCACATCCCAGAAATAAAGTCACGAGTTGCTACCCACACTGCAGCGCAGGTCGTCGTCGTCGTCGTCGTAACATAATTACGGTTTTTTCCAGCAGGACGGAATTGTTTTAATAATTTCCCGGAGACGACTTCCACGTGCACGGGTTGGAAGTGGGAAGGGGAGGGAGTTAAATCCGAACGAGTGAGTTGAAACGCGCGGACCACATTAACTGAGGGAGGGCCATTTCCGCCCGCGCACTCGCTTTTCCAAGAGCTCCGTGGTGAACTAGGGGAGAATGGTATAGAACGCACCCCCTGGGCAGAACGCACCAGCTGACTTTCATTTGTGTTTTTCATGGTTTTTAAGTAACTTTTTTGTTGTCTTATCAAGCAGCACTTCTAGCATAGTATCTGAACTCAAAATCCTGCATGATAAATCCTAGAATTGGATTTAAAATTCCAAGAAAAACTCAAAATAAAATGAAAAAGTGCGTCTTACCCCGGGGGTGCGTTATGTACTGTTCTCCCCTACTACTGGTGACCGCAAATAATATCATCTGCTGTGCCATGGCAGGTGAAGTACACAACAGAGGGAAGCATTTCTGCCTTTTATTGCATTTTTCCTCCGGTAAGTGGTGACCCACGTCTCCGGGCGGAATCACGGTGGTAGGTACGGATGTTTGAAATATTTCAGTGCTTCCAATCGTGGAATATGTGGGTCAACAGCGATTACACAACTATTAGGACGGCAAATACCTTGAGGTACTGCTTTCAGATTACCAGGTTTATGCGTGGCGGAATTTAGTGGAAATCGGCAGCTGTTTCAATGTAAATGTTTGAAGTGGAATAGAAGAACACCCTGTAACAGAGGTCTCCCTGTTCAGTAGCTACTCATATTTACTGTTCACCAGTGTTTGTTTTTGTCAGATGAGTGGAGCGATGGGTAAGCGTATAGAATCAGCTTCCAAAAGAAGCTTCTGTTGGAATCTTCTTTCAAAAGCTTTTGTTCAGAATCTTCTTTTAGAACATTCAATGAAAGTGTTTTGTTACTTCATACGTAAAGTTTGCGGTTTTTAACGTTGAAAGGCAATGCTATACTTATATCAGCATGAAGGTTTAGTGCGATAATTTATTAGCTAGAAAAAGTTCTGAAGAGGGTAGGTTGATAGTTCCGCTAGAGTATGGCAGTGTGAAAATTGAACAGAAGTTGAAATTGAGCAAAGGGCCATTAATTGCCTGTGGATTTGAGGACATACTTCAAATCCCGTCATCCATCAATGTATGAGCTAGGTAAAAGAGTGCGCGTTTGATTAGTATTATCGTATTAATAGCCCTTCGCCTTATTTCAACTTCTGTTCAATTTTCACACTGCCATACTCTAACGAAATTATCAATCAATCCACAGAACTTTCCCTAGGTAATAAATTATCGCACTAATGCTTCATGATGATATTCTTTAAGAAGCTTATTCTAGAAGCATGCTCGTCGCTCCGCTCCTGTGACTAAAACACGGACGGACAGTAAATCTGAGTAGCAACACACTAAAGGAGAAGTTCCGTAAATGGATTCTTGTGGGATTTAATACATATCTGTAAACAATGTTAGATATTAAGTAAAGAAGGTGAAATAGTTTGGGATTATTCTTAAATATATGGATAAAAACAAAATTGTTTAATTGTACAAGTCGATAACTCGATGGTCCTTCCAATATCCAATCATAGAGAGTTGCCAATTTTTCCGGTTGTCTTCATCCAGGAAAAAATATGCTGTGTATGCAATGACCCATTTAACCGAGTCATCTCTTCAGCTCAATCGCATTCGATTATATGCTTAATTTAAACGTATATCGCACAACCGGAAAAATTATCAAAATTCCGAGGAAAAACAGTTTGTTTCTGTGATCGAAGCCGTCAACATTTGTGCATCTTTTAATAACCTTGAAAAAGTTAGCTCAGAACTCTTTAAAGGAATTTCATGCAGTGTTCTCAAATTTCCATTCGAATAATTTCCCTTCAGATTATTCTTTTCAGAGTCCCTTTAAAAGAAATTTGAGATTCTCTCTGAGAGTCCCTTGAACATTTCTTTTTAACATTTCAGAACACTCCCAAAAATTTGAGGAATTCATCTTAAGGGGGTAGTCCACTCTGGCGGCATGAAAAATAGGTCATTTTCACGATTTTTTTTTAGGGTAAATAGCGATCAATTCAAAAAAAGGAATGCATGGTTTTGTCAATTGAAATGTCCTCTTTAATAGAGATTTTTTTTTTGGCGCGATTGGATGTCTCCTGTAACGGCTGCACCAGGTTCCCCAGGAGACCTCCCGTCTGAATCGTCGCGGGGCGGGACGTCTGGCGGTCACACCACTGGAGCTGGAACAACGAATTTTTTGTGGTTATTCTCTGATAGATGACCCAGTCTTGTACGTAGCCGTTTTTAATTTGGCGGTCCGTTTTTGTACCCTAAGATTGGAGATAAAAGCTTGCACCAAAAATCCATTTAGGATTCTTTTGAAAATCGGCTACGTACAAGACTAGAAAAAAAGGTACTTAACTCGAAAATTCAATCGCCGTTTAAATCGAATGAGCCGTTTCTAAAATACAGCGCCCGCCAATTTTTAAACATCGTTTAGAGAAAATCACGGCAGCAGTTAGAACTACTAAGACACGCCGTTTCGTCGGTAACGGGCGGGTACTCCGAGCGCTCACCTGAGCGCGCTTGGAGCGTCTGGACACGAGTCCACTAATTGGCCTATAACTTTGGAACGATGTCACTTGCGGACTTGTCTATGTTAAAGTAGATATTCCAAAGTATTTTTTGAGCCAAAAAAAAAAATTTTTTTTTAATTTCCAGAGTGGACTACCCCCTTAAGATTCACTTCAAAAGAATTCACTGAAGCTTCCTTTCATAATTATATTTGAAATTAGCCTGAATTCTCCTTAGAATTTTCATGGAGTTCACCTCAGAATTGTCTTACTTTGTCTGCTCATAACTATCCTCAAGCTCGTCCCCCATCTCTATGAGTCTCATCGTCGCCCACTGTTCACCATAGCCGGTCGAACTCCAGACCATACTACCGTTCATACTGGCGACATCGCTCTGATGAGACAACGAAACCCTACGCCCAAGCTACGGTAAGCTCCTACTCGGATTAATATTTAATCCCTTCCTTGTTTGGATGATCCGCAACATGTTTGTTTAGACTCGTGTTGATTAAATCTAATGTCGACATCAAAGCAGCTGGACATTCTCGATCGGGATTTAATTCGAGGATAATACCGTTAGGAGCTTCCAATCAGCTCTATGGTGATTGAAAGTAGAGCTGTTGGGATTAGAAATTATTTCTTGGGATATTTCAAAAGTTACTGGAAGGTGATCAGAACCGAAGTCAGCATGGGTAACTAGTTGGCTACAATGTAGACATGAATCAGTTAAGTAGATCATGGATCAGTAGACATCGATAGTTGACGGATTTCTTGCTGAAGAAAAGCATGTTGATCTGTTTGGATATTGAATAGTGTAATAACCTGAAGAACAATCATCAAACAGAATGTTACCATTGGAATTGCTTTGAACATTATTCCATGTTGTATTAAAATCACCAATAATGAAGAATTTAGACCTATGACGGGTAAGTTTCTGGAGGTCACCCTTGAGAAAATTCTTTTGCTGGCCTACGCATTGGAATCGTAAATAGGCAGCTATAAACGTAAGTTGTCCAAATTTTGTTTCAACAGAAACTCACAAAGTTTCAAAAACTTTGGTTTCAAATGAAGAAAGAATTGTATGTTTGATTCGTCTATGAACAATGATGGCGACGCCACCACGCCAAGACGATCATTTCTATAAATGAAATAATTTGCGTCCTTCTTAACCTTATGGTCAGGTTTGAGGAACGTTTCAGTTATAACGGCAATATGCACGTTATGAACCCTCAAAAAGTTAAATAGCTCGTCTTCATTATCTTGAAGAGATCGAGCATTCCAATTTAAAATATTTAATGCTTTAAAATCCATTACTGAATTTTAAAGTCATGACAATATTATTTGCAAATTTTACTCCAGTTTGAATAGCATCAAACATGGAGTTAGATTTAAGCATATCAGAAATCATGTCAATTAATGCTTTCTGTAAAAATTCCTTGTTCCTTATTCCTTAAAAAGCAGTAATGCTTCCTAAGTCAAATTTTTCAAAATTTCCGTTAGATTTACGTTGGTTAGTATTTTGATTTCAGCTGGTGCGTTCTGCCCAGGGGGTGCGTTGTATACCATTCTCCCCTACCTACGGGTACGAATGTAGAATTTGTTCCTCGCTGACCATTGTTAACAGCAGAGGAATTTATACTTGGCCGGGAACGTGAAGCGCTTCCTACCTGTCGCTTAGAAGCAATAGGATCGCTTTGCGAGTCTTACATTCCCAAAAATTGGATTTGTTGTTTTCACCACAATTTGAACATTTAAATTTCTTAGGATCTTCCTTCACAGGACAATCGTCCTTTGCGTGAGAGGAATCACCACAATTCATGCATTTAGCTGGCATGTAGCAATTTTTAGTTCCGTGACCCCATCCCTGGCACTTACGGCACTGGGTGAGGTTTTGGAAATTTCATCTAGTCTTCTTGAAGTGTTCCCACTTCACTCGGACATGGAGCATAAGGCTAGCTTTTCTAAGGCCTTAAGGTTGTTTAGTTCACTAGACTTGAAGTGAACTAAATAAAAATCATTAGAAATCCCGTTGCGCGAATCGCCAGGACGGGATTTCATTTTCATTTTGATTACTTGGAGTGGCACAACTCCAAGTAATTTTGCCAGTTCATCTTTGATCTGATCCAGGGATTCACCACTGGGCAGTCCTTTCATGACAACCTTGAACACACGTTCAGTTTTGGTGTTGTAAGTAAAAAATTTGTGCTGCTTCTCAGTAAGATACTTGAGAAGACATTTAAATCCGTCCAAGGTTTCAGCCAATACACGGCATTCACCCCGACGTTCAATTTGTAGTGAAAACTTAACTTTCACGAAGTTCAAAAGTTCCATGCGAAGAGCATGGACATCGGAAGTGGTTATTACAATAGGGGGAATCTTTTCCTTCTTGGCATTAAGCCTATGGATCATTCTCATCATGCGTGAGCAAATCAAATTGATTACTCAAATTAATTTCATCAGAAGGGAGATCAAGAGTTTGCCCCTTTTTTGCGTTTAGGAGCCATGGCGGCAGTAAATTTTTATCCAAATCGACTTCCAAGCAGATTACTATAAGAATCTGAAGGATCGAAGAGGAATTTTCCAAATCGATATCCAAGAAGGATTACCTCCGGTAGGGTCCAAACGAAGAGGAATAAGAGTTGAACAAGAGTAGAAATTTTACAGGTTGAGCACTGAAAAGTGCTGTTAAATTTGTTGTAGCTTTAGGTAGTAGTAACACTTCCTTCAGCAAATGGATTCCAAACATCACTTTCTCAATTCCAGGCATTGTGTTCCAGTCTTATTATCCTCCTGTTTCTGTGCTACTTGCCCCTGCCCAGCCAGGATTTGGTCGACCGTCCGACAGTAGTATCTGAAAGAGGCTTCAGAAACCAGTTTCCTACCTAACTGCTTCCAATCGAAATTGTTACCCATTAACCTCGAGCCCGCCACGAGTAATTGGTACCCAATACTAACCTAGAACTAAACTGCTGTTTAAAATGTAAATTCAAACATTACTGATTTGTGGCTCCGCAAATTGTCACACACGACTGAGCCTAGTAATTAAACGAACTAGTTGAAAAAAAAAAATCCGCACCAAAACTCTACGTTTGCCTTTAACATTTTTTGATTGTTATTCAACGAATTTTCAACGCAACATTCTGTAACCCATTAAAGCAACAGGTCATGCACCTGCATCGTCCGAGAAAGGGACAATGACAGGCTGCACTACGGTGGAACTCACTCATTTACCTTATGTCATGGAACGATAACCAGATCGAAACAAGCGCCATACTGCGATGGTAACCAACCATGGCAATTATGAACATGAACTAAAAAAAGACAGACCACCCACCCAACGGACGGGAAAAACGTTATAAATTTATAATTATTAAAAATATAATTATGATGATAATTATTGCGGATCGGAGTGGGTCGTCATATGCTGCTGCTGGCTGTGGCGGGCAGGGTGGTATATTTTTCTTTTCAACCACCCGCCGCGAATATGACCGCCCGTTCGTTGGCTGGAACCTGTAAAAATTCTAGGAATGAAATCAAATGAGATGATTTTTTTTTAATCCTGCAGCGCCGCTGCTGTCTCTGTTCCCGAGGTTGACTGAGGTTATGCAAATGGTCAATAATATATGAGAGGGCGAACGAAATGGTGTAATTGCGCTGTTCTGCGAAGGGGTTGCGTGTAATATTTATGGCGGTTTTTCCCCAATTAACAAGGGCCCTGTTAATTTGTGGACCATCGGTGTCGATGCTATTTTCGGAAGTAACCAATAATTCAGTGTATAATTTCAAGTAGAGCGACTTAACTCATGCTAAATTATTACAAACGCAAAAGTAGGTTGTTAGTTCATGCAAAAATCACTCAAACAAAACCACCACAAGCAATCAATTAGGAGCCCGGAGGAAAAGTGAGCAAAACATGCGAAAAGTAGGAACCGTAATTCTGTTAATGATTATCTCCTCTCACTAATGAAAACGATAAAAAGTACATGAAACCTCAGATGCAACAAATCCAGGTACGGTTGATGATCAAACAGAGCAGGATAACAAAAAAAAACGAGGAGATTAAAAACAACCGAGTAAATTAAGAGAGCAAACTGCAGAATACGGTTTGAAACAATAGATATGAAAAAAAAAGATGAAAAACAGAATCACAACAAACCAACCACAGTTCACGGTCGGTACCGGAAGGTAGGTATGAGACGAAAAGCAAAGGTGGTAGCATTCTGTCGTTTCTGGATGCACTTTTTCAACCCTAAGTACTACAATACTACAGAGAGATGAGCACGGACGGATGGATGCAAACTGGGGGAGGGGGTTTAAAGGCTCAAACAACATCAAAATAGAATTAAAACTGCGCTTTGCCGTGTTTTACCCTTGTCTTTGGTTGGGTTTACGGCTCGGCGACAGTGATAACAAAAATAATATACATCAGCAACAACAGAGTTATAACGGAGGGACACACATTCCAGGAGTTGGTACACAAGGACCAATAGAGAGAGAGAGGGTGGCAATGCGCTCCAGAATAAGGCAAAGGGTGTTGGCAGCAAAACGTTTGAGGCTCACCTGAGGCAGATGTCGCTGCTGTCTTCCCTAAGAGACCTGTTGTGTGGATATGGATGGTGTGGGGTTTTCACATTTTTCGACCGTGTTGTCAGTTCGTTTCGGAGTGATTGTTGTCGGTTGATGGATGGAGTTGGAGTTGGTTTTTATCGCGAAACGGCAGCCAAACCGAGAGATACGGAATCGGGTCGGTAAATAGAGGAAATTTTTTAGAGACGAGCTTTTTGTGGTTATGTTGTGTTGTTCAAATGGTGTTATTTTATTTTTGGCAATGCATACAAATACAACGCAAGAGGACCTCGTAGGTAAGTTCGGAACGACGAGATGTTGCTTGGTTGATAGAAGGAGTAGCGGAAGAAAAAAAACGGACGGGAGGAGATAAAAGCAAATTGTGTTGTTCTTTCTCATTTGAGTTTTTGCTACACCGCTGATGACGGGTGACGATTGCGTCTGGACAACAGGGCGGGATGCACAAGCTGATCAACTTGATACAACTAATGTACGGAGCATACACTTAGTTTCGTTTTCTCGTTGCCGAGATTATCAAAACCCTTTTATTATATTAGACAAAAGTAGTAGGCGAGAACATTTTCGTTTTTCCTGATCCCTGTGATCTCTGATACCCGAAATCGTCAACGACGTTCAATAAACTGCTATTCTGTGACAAATCGGCAGAAAACAAAAACTGCATGCCACCCTTAGACTTCTTGTACCCACCGAACAAAGACCACAAACGGTGGGGAACGAGGTTAGCAGATAAGTGACTTATAAATTAAGAGTTAGCCAAACAGACAGAAACAGATAGCACCACCAGCAGCCAACGACTGTGGTATGACGTTAGCGGTGGGTTGTTGTCGAGAAGGAGCTTGTCTCAAAGAGATGACACTCCACAAGAACAAACCGAAACGGGTGACACAATAGCACGGTGAGGACGACGAGGGGTTCCGAGAAGACAAAGCTGACGGTGGAGTAAGGATTTAATTTAATAAAAATATTATCCACCGAAAGAAAGAAAGATAAGCAACCCAGTGAACTCGTTTCTTCGTCGCCACGGAGAGTGAGACTTTTGCGCGACTGATATAATAAAATTGCCTTTTATACCTTTTGTCGCTGTTTTTCTTTTTGCTTTTTGAGGAAAAGTGTCGCGTGCGCGAGAAGCTAAAACGGAAAACAACACAAACTTCACACAGACACTGTAAATTTGTGTGCACGCTTCCTTGCGCTCTCGGTTTCCGTTTGCCTTTCATGACTATAAAACGTTTATTACTTCAACACGTGGCATTGGCTTCTTCTTCTTTTTCTTCTTCATATCCATCTTTATGAACGAGGGGAAACGGAACAGGAAGATGACAGCGCCGTTTGTAGAGTCGTCGGCATGAACAGTCCTTCATCCCAAGCACAGGGACCTAGCTAAGAAAATCCCGGAAATGGAGCGGACCAGGTGAAAAAGTCATAAAACAGATAAAAATGAAATCGTTCATCTTTTATAACTTTTACGAGTTGTTTTAATGGGCCACTGACTGGTCGGACGATGCGGAAAAAGCGAAACCTGCCTGCCTTTCTCGGCAAAGTTTTGAGTCAGGGGACGGACCTAGTTACTGTCTGACTGACACTCATCATCAGCCAACAACAAACAAGGCACGGAATGCGGGGTGGTGGGAGGGATCCAGGCAGATGATGGAGTCGAGAGTAATGATTTTAATTTCCCGTGCTCAACGGAGGAAATGATTTCATAATGTCTCCATGCTGCTGGTGTCGGTGCCAGGGCGGGCGTTTGGGTCTATATTGTTTGGAAATTATCGTGAAAGTGAGCGACGATTCGCTGGAATTGGCTGTCACGCGGTAAGGGGATGTTGGGAACACGCTTTTTCTATCGCTCGTTGGCAGAAAACAATACGGCATTGTTGCCGTTGTTGTGCGAAAAGGTATTTGCGGATATTAAATTTTCCGAATAATTTAGGATGCTGTGGATTCCAGGTGGAGGAATGTGACAGCTGGTAGAATTTGATAAATGTATTCCATTGACAATGGTCGGCTGTTAGTAATGTAGGCATATGGAAGGTACACCAGGGAATTTAAAATTAAATTTCAGGTATCCATACACTGATGATTGTTGAACATTCAATTTGGTAGCTTTACTTCAAATGGTATGCAGAAATTCGCATTAGGATTGCTGTTGTTGTTTGTTGGTTCTCCTAGTAATCAAGCCGAATGTCATTTGGCCTAATGGAAAATTTGGTAGAACACCATTTGAGTAAAATTTTTGCAATTATATGAGACTAGCTTAATACCTCGGCGTCGCTCGGGATAATTTTAAGCAGTGTTGGGAAAATATCAAAAATTCAAATCTCACCAATGCCCAAGATCACGATTGATTTTCGTAGACAAAAATCAACAAGGAAACAACTGCGGTTGAATTTGCAAGCTGTGATCCACGTTGCCAGATATACCGATTTATCGGTATTTATACCGATTTCCGAACTATATACCGATATACAGATAAGGTTCATCAGAATACCGATTTTTGAGGTTTTATACCGATTTATACGGTTTTTTTTTTTAATATAGACTGTTCCAGAAAGTATAAGCACACCTTATTCTAACGGTCACTTTGAATATAATGAAATATTTCAACATGTTTTGGCTGCGTCCTTTTGTTTGCTCATTTCTGAATGACATAGCATCAAAAAAGTGCTCAGTTTTGTGTTTGTGTTTCCTGTGAAACCACGGGCCCGCAAACTCTACGATTCGTTATTGTGTCGAAATTCTGGGTGTATAATAATAGACGATGAAACGTACGTGAAACTAGATTACAAAACGCTTCCCGGACCACAATTCTATACTGTAAGCGAAGGCAAGGACATCCCCGAAACGGAGAAGGCAATTTTTACCGAAAAATTCGGAAAGAAGGTTATGGTTTGGCAGGCAATATTCGAGTGTGGTAAAACATTTAGTCCGTACATCACAACGGAGACGATGAACACTCAGAAATACGTTAAGGAAAGTCTCCAGAAGCGATTGTTGCCGATGATCAGGCAGCACGAAGGTCAAGTCATGTCATTACGCAAAGGACACTTTAGAATGGTACAAAAGTCAAAATGTATGTTTCGTGCCGAAAGACAAGAATCTGCCGAACTGCCCGGAGGCACGGCCAATCGAGACTTTTTGGGCTTTAACCAAAGCAAAGCTTCGAAAATTAATAAAACCAGTGGACGACATCCAAAAATTCAAAAAAGATTGTTTAAAAGTGGTCAAAATGGTGGGAAGTACCACTGTGCAGAAGCTAATGGGTCATGTTCGAGGAAAAGTTAGGAGTCTTGGCTATGATTAAATATGTAAATTAAACGAGAGTAAAACATCATTTGAAATACAAATACAAAGATGATTTGCCAAATAAAATTATTAAAACTTAAAAAACATTACTTTTTTGTTATTTTGAAAGTGTGCTTATACTTTCTGGAACAGTCTATAATCAAAATGATTATTGCATGCCCGCGCTCAGAATTTCGAAGAAAATTATTGTGGGAGACTTGTATCTTTTTTTAATATCTAAAAAAAATGAGAGCCTTAAAATTCTAAAAAGAAATCATCCTCAAAAATGTCTTATGGATACTCTGTCGATTAATGTTTCAATGTTGAACCGATAAACAGTCGATAGCTCTTTTTGGTAATTCCGGGGGAATCGGGAAATAATTTTTAAACATTATTAAAGTTTCTGGATTTTCTTCCACCTTAAATCGTTAATTATTTTACGATTCTTCTCGGAAACTTATTTCGACTTCCCTTGGAAGCTTCTTCAGCCTTCGAGCGAATGATTCTTCCATCTTCTCTCGCCAGTTTTTCAACTTTCCCGGAACTTCAGGGATGCTTCCAGATTTTGATTGCGGATCCCCACTAGTTGCAGGAACTTTTAAGAAGTTCTGAAACTTCAGAAAAGTGCAGACTTTTGAGTAAGTTTCGATAAATTAAAGAATGTTTCAATAGCTTCTGTTAAAATTCTAAACCCGGAAATTTCAGGAGTCCAGCGAATTCCAGTGAACTTATGGAAACATCATTAATATTTTGGATACTTCACAAGTCCAAAGAACATCTGGAAAATTTAAAGGTTTTCAGGACAGAATTGAGGAAACTTTAGGAAGCTCCGAGAACATCAGGACAGATTATAAAATTTCAAGGAAATCGTTGAAATTTTAAAGGAGTTCCGAGAAACAATTTCCGAAAACTTCAGCAATTTTCCGAGGGGCTCATGCAAATTTAAGAAACGTAAGAGAAGTTACATGACCATAAGCACATTGTGAGAACATTTTATGGGAAGTTCCGTGCTTACTAATGACAGTGTCGAAAACTTTTAAAAATTAGAAAAATCGGGAAGATCAGAGAACTTTAATGCTGATGTTACAATAAATTCAAGAAAATTGCGAGAGCGCCTAAGAAATTTCGTTATGTTCAAGAAAGTCTAGAGACCTTCAAAGTTGATTAGAGATATTCCGGTAGTCTCATTATAATCAGCGAAGTTTCAAGTATTTCAAAGATGATCAGATGGAGTACTCTATTAACTTAAGGAATTCCGAGGAAATATGGAATATTCCTAAGTACATTTCAGGAATGTTCCAAAAACTTCAGGAGCATTGCTGGGTCTTTAGGGATGTTTTATGACCATTTGGAAAATTATCTGGATCATTAGAACATCCCCCAAGAGCTCTTTCTTCCGGAATTATTCCGGCTTCCGACTTCCTCCAGATTTTTTTTCCAATCTACCTTAGGAAGTTTCAGCCAACGTCTCTCTTTGTCCAGTTGGTTTTTTTACTTCTATTTTCCGAGCTTCTTCTGGCTTCCTCTGGAAATGGCTACTGCTGGAATTTATTTCCAATTTCCGAAACATTTCTGCCTTCCTTTGAATGTGAAATCCGTTTTTATTCTGAAAGTTTGTTTAAATTTTTGCCAAAAGTTTCTCAATTTATGTTTGGAAGTTACGCGGATGTTTTTCCGACTTCTCTCAGAACTATCCTCAAATTTCCTCCAGGAGAGCTACTTTTTCT